TAAAATATAGAAACAAAATATCATCTCATCAATATGTGAGGTTGAAACATATCTTAATGAATTAAGATTCGCTTTTAGTAAGATCCCATTAGAATGGGGGTGGGGGGGGGGCTGCATGGGGATCATTTTCTCATGTTGTTAAAAATGACAACTAATAAATTGTCCATTCTGGTATCTTCGGCTTCATCGGTTATTCTCAGTAGGGATAAATATAATAATGAAAAATAGAATTTCTTTGAAGGAAGAAACCATTAGACTTTATACTTGAAAAACTGGTTGTTGTCAAATTCGAATCTAGCATAATTATATTTTTTCTGTATTTTATTTTGATATTTATAAAATGAGATCAATTGTGCATTTTTAAAAATTTTTTTATAAAATTTTATAATATTAGATCGAAGAAATAACGTCTAGAAAAGAATTTATTATTTTTATAAGCAATTTTAATTCTAAAAATTGGGTGTTTTTGGCCAATTATTTGGAAAACATTATGAAATCATTGGGTTTTATTTCATTTGTTATTTTCAGAAAATTTTGATATGCTAATGACAATTAGTTTTAGTAGAATCAAAGGTGTCATTTTAAAACATCTGTTTATATTTTTAATTTTCATACTGACAATACTCGGATTGACTAAGATATTAATTAGTCGATGTATCGACTGTTTACTCGAAGTGATTGTAACATATATACACTTATTTCCAATAAATACTGATTAGTGATTTCATCGTCCCCTATTTGATTTATTAAAATGTTTCATAATTATTAATTAAGGTGATTGGGACGATACTTTTAATACAGAAACTATATGCGGTTATCGCGACGACTTGATAGCTTATTTTGCTTCCAAACCACAAGCTAACAGTAAATATAAGGTTTATAATTATTTTATTATATAAAATTATTTGCAGTTTTCTCATTTTTATTGCATGAATAATTAACGTATATAAAAAGTCAGTATAATATCATTTTAGTAATAAAAATGAAAATACCAGTTTGTGTTTTTCTTGTTTCATTCATTTACATTACGAGCTTTGATCTATAAATTATATTATAAAATAAAATAAATACTTTTAATTCAGGATAGGTGGGGAAAAAAATTGTTAAATTATTTTCAGGATAGATGGGAAAAAAATAGTGTTATCAAATCTTAATATTAAATAAAACTATATTCCGACAAAATCAGGGCTATTAAAATTAACATGCTTGCGCTATAAATTATTTAAGTTTAAAAATTTCTAAAAAAAAAAACGTCAAACCCCGACTACATAAAAAACAATCCCTTCAGAAAATGATAATATAACTGTATAAAAATCAGAGATTTGCAGACCCAGCCCTAAGTCAGATCCGGGTACAGGAGCCGGGCTGTATTTTAATTTTGTTAAATATACCCGGACCAGGCCTAAATTTTTTTTATTAAATACCAGAGCCGGGTCGTATATTTGAAAATAAAATAATACATTTTAAAAAAAATCAGAGCCGGGCGGGTCGGACTTGAAAATTATTTTTAAAAAAAATCCGGGCTAAGTTGAAAAAAATTTTTGAAAAAAAATTCCGGGTCGGCAGGACGTGCAAATGGTACCTCACAGATCCATCTCTGATAAAAATGAGGGTGGGATGGGGGTGGGGGTGTTAATATTAAGTCTATAAAACACTTTATAAATTGATAATTTTAATTTAATTATAAACTTTTTTTTTATTATTTGATTTGTTTCGTGCTATCAATAGGTGATCAGATCTCCCGATTATGGATTGCATATAAATCAAAGCTTTAAAGAATGCGCATTTGGTTTTAGTATGAACAATGAGAAAGGCAGACAAAATATCGATAAATGTGTGACAAGATTTTCGGAATTCTATGGATCAAAGAGACAGCTGGCAAGATATCTCTTGTTAAAAGACTATAAAAAAATTAAGACGCATAAAATTGGGCCAAAAAAAAATATGTGAAAATAAAAAATGATTATTTAATATTGAATTAAGATAGCCATTATAAGAGGGTTTTCATATGAATTTTCTGAGCATTAAAATTTGAGAATTTGATTTTACCAGAAATATATTCTAACATGTTTGGAATACCTATCCTATGAATTTCAGACAATTCTATGAACTTATCATTTTAATTTATATTCGTTTTTTATAGATTGTATATATAAATTATAAATGTCTCAAAGGTTTTCTATTTCTGACCCGTTTATATTTTAATAATAAGACAAATTAACGATTATGATAATCATACTTATTAGATTTAAATTCATTATATATTTTTATTCTATCATTCCTGATTTTTATAATATCTCTTGTCATAGGCCACATTAGTCAATGTTATGTTATTTTATTTTTAGATAGAGCATATTATATATTTTTTAAAGGACAGGGCAATTAATTGGGAGGTATATTACAGATATTTAATATCCTAGGTCTCATAACACTATATTTTTTTTAAATCCATGAATTAGGAAATTCGGTGGAAGAGCTCAAAGCCTCGGCAAAATTTTGAAAATAAAAATTTTGTGGTATATCCTATTCTCAAATAAAATCTTGCTCCTACATCTAGATTCCTTTGATTTTTATTTTATTACATCAATCAGAAATATTAAGAAGTAACTAAATTTTGGATTTTATTTACTGAAATTGTTTTTGGTAAATTTGTCTACCCGTGTTATCAGTGAAGATCCTTTATTTCATTTTTAACTCCACTTTTATTATAATTAACCAAATATTTAACCGTTGATTTATCTTTAAAATGATGCTAATTGATAATCTAACACATCAGGATTCAATAGAATCTTTAAAATTTTCAAATCGAAAGTCTAATATTAATATATATTCACACCATGTTCTTCATACTAATTATTTATAAAATCTTATAAATCCCATTTGTAAGTCATGATTCACGACTTGCGCTTTAATATCCAAGTATCTTGGCTATAGACATGAAGCTATTAGCTTTTCATACTCACCTAAGCCCATTAACAAAGTAAGGGTAAATTTTATCTTAGTTAATTGCTAATTTCCTTGCCTGAGACCCTACCAGTATAAATTGTTCTTCAGCAACGATAGATATTTACAATATCCGATTAATGCCGAATAATAATAGTATTGTAGGGTCCGATTTCATATCAAAAATTTATTAGATATTTGCATAATTAAATTTTTCAACATATAAATGATATCAGTAGAAAAAAAAGAAATTATGAGGAAATAACAAAACGAGTTCTACTTTTGTAAAATCATTCCTTTTTATTAAAATTGTATCATGCGCATGAATTTCTCGTCGCATGTAAAATTTTTAATATAATTTCCAGTTAATTTAGTTAATAGACAGAAATAATAAAATTAATATAAAATCGTTTAAAGTTAATAGATACTCAGACAAAAATAAAAGAAACATTTTACTTAACGTTTTAAAAAAGTAATAAACCATTTAAAGTGATAAAAAAAATAACAAATGATAAACTTTAAAATAAAATGAAAGTAAATAATGCGCAAACTATACCCAGAATGGACAAATTGGAATATCATTGGAAACATATTATTTTCTTTATTTCATAATCACATTTATTAATAATACTATATATATATAATATACCAATAGTCCATTATTTATACAAAACAATATCAAATTCACAATTTCAAATATTATATAATGTTCTCGTCTCGAACATTGATTAATAATATATAGACTGATGATTTCTTCTAGGTACATAACCAAGGGATAGATAAGTGGGAATTTTTTTGTCTCTTCAATTGTCTCTTCTCGTAATATGATATTAAGCAAATAACTCCCCCCCCCCTCCCACACATCCAAATAATAATTTGTAAGAAAAATAAGTAAATTAAATAATATAATGCTATAATTCAAAATTTTCGTAATAAAAAAAATGAAATTATTTTTATAAAAATATAATATAGGTAAAGTAAATGTCTACAATATGCATACCCAAAAATCTTCAATAAAATTATAGCGGAAAACTCCATCTTATAGTGCCTAATTTTTTTAGGTACATTTATCCTGTGATTGATTTCTATACAATACAAATCAGGTGGTGCCATTTTTGTTTCCGATATAAATAATTTTCATTAAAATATTTTAAAATTGAAAAAAAATACAATTATTCGGGAACAAAAATGGCGTGTCACCATCTGATTTGTATTCAACGAGGCTTCAAAATGCATTAATGAATGAATAAATCCTAGGTAAGTATTATATGTCATTGATCTCAAACATAAGTTATTAATGAATAGAAGTAATTATATCAAATCATATGTATTTATCTAAGCTTCATTACTAAGTCTTCTCTAAGGAAATCATTAACTAATTCCATATCATAACATTTTATTAAATTAACTCCTATTTTATATAATACACGGATATAATAAATCCATAATATAAATAAAACAATTCCACAATAACATTAAAAGATCAATTTCTAGAATATTATAAATCACATATATATCGAATAATTGTAGATAATTTAATCTTTCTATTAATTATCTGGTCGTGAGAGGTTACAGTTATATTATACAGGACTTCCGATATCAAATAAGATTCTGGTCTATTTTATTCATTATAAAAGATGTGGGCTCATAATTGAAATTTATCTTTCAGCGGCGTAACTAGCCTTTACAATTTCAGGGAAATCAAAACAATTCTTTTCAAAATTACCTTCTCCTTTTTCCTAATTTATAAAATTATCATTGAAAACAAGTTTTTATTTTATCTCCTTGGTCCTAAAATTTAGTGTATCATATAGGATTAAAATAAATAAAATATATATAAATTTCTATTAATTTTTAATTTAAAAATAGAAATATTTCTTTATTATTTACCTCTGATACTCTAAATTTAAAAATATTCATTTTTTTGAAAGTGAATTTATTATATATTAAATTTGTGGAGGAGATTTGACCGATAGACCCTGATAAGGTTTAGCACTTTTAAATAAATATTTATAACAATTTAAAAGCGCGGTAATAATATATGAATTTTAAATTTTATGTCAAAATCTTACTCAAAAAACTCATACAAGAGTAGGGAAGAATTGTATAATTTGATAGTAAGGTATTAAATTACCATTAATTTTGATATCAAAATTCTAATTAGTCAATTATTTTATGATGGTTATCAAACAGTTGCTACAAGTCTTACATCTTTATTAAATTTTCCTGTAATTTGCACTCCCTCTGATAAGTTAGCTAACCTTGTAACAAAAAATTATGAAGAAAGAAGTATGTAGTATTGTCATACCATTAAATAATATTTAGAATAGATATAAATAATTACGATATTTATACATCAGCAGACTGTTTAGATTTTGAAGAAGAATTTTATGGTATATTTAACAAAATTGTAATTCTAATATATTTTTAAGGGAAAACATCTTCTCCAGAACCAGGATTATATGAAACAAAATATTTAACAGCTCATAAAGGCCCTTGTAGAGTAGTACATTTTAGTCCTGATGGTTATATAATATATAATATTTTTAAAAATATGATTTATTAGGTGACTTAATAGCAACTGGTTCATTAGACACATCCATTAAAGTAATAAGTTTTTATATTCATAAATCTATTTAATTTTCTTTTATTAATAATATAATTGTATTTAATAAATTCTATATATAAAAGGGACCTATAAATGTATATATTCCTCTAGATTTTAAATGTAGATAAGATAATGATGAGGAGTGCCCCAAACACTCAGGAAATACTCCAGCAAAATTCAGAGAACCATCCAGTTATTAGAACATTATATGATCATATTGGGGTATAATTTATTAATTTCTTAAATCTTATTTTGGTAAACAGGAAGTAACATCTTTGCAATTTCACCCAACTGCTCCTATCATTATATCTGGTAGCAAAGATTGTACAATTAAAGTATTTGATTATTCTAAACCAACCTTAAAAAAGGCCATTAAATATATACAAGTTACAAATAATTAATATAATATATTAAATCTAAAATTATTATACCAAATATATATGTCATATTGGGATATAGAAATGGAATCCATGTGGATTCAGAATCTCTCAAATCTAAAATTTACCAAGATTGATTTTTAATTTTGAATATCTTATTTAATCAAATATCAGAGTTGTTATGCTCCTGTAGCGTTGGTACATTTTTCAAACACCCTTTTTAAAATTGGGGAGCGGGAGCTAGCTCCTTTTAGGGCTGGAGTGGAGGAGCGCTGCTCCACTGCCCCTTTAAATTTAATGTATAAATTAAATTATTTTTAAATATTAATTATATTTAATAAAAATGAAATTTTATTTAAATTTATCCATTATTTAATGTTTAGCCGAGTTTTATATTGGTTTTTCATCTAATCCTTTTAAATATTAAACATCAAGTTTTCCTTTTTATATTGAAAATTTTTTGGAAAATCTTGTAAGTCATATTAATATTTGTTTTATAGATATTTAATAAAAAATAGTTTTAGATATCATAGATGAAGAAATCGAATTTCCATTTCCATCATACAAAAAATATTTTAAACTTCTAAAAGATGTTGATCCAAATAATCAAACAAATTACTGGCAAAATGTCTTTTGTGTTTAAATAATAAAACTATTTAATTTTCAAAAGTGAGCAGCTTCAATCTAAAAAAGCATCTAAAAGTAAAAAATCTTTCTTGGAAGATTTTTTTGGATTCCATGAAATTGATCATCAGGAAGATAATATATTGGACAAATATTTTTTAAATAATGATACCAAAATTACTATTTTTGATAAATTCCCTGAATTAAAAAATATCCTTATAAAATACAATACCTTGCATCCCTCTAGTGCTCCTGTGGAGTGCCTATTTAGTATTGCAAAACAGGTCTTAGGGGAGAGGCGTGGATGTTTGATAGATTCTAATGTAAAATATATTACTTTTAGAGGCTAATAAAAGGTTATAAATATTTTGATAGATAATTTAATATAAATAAAGCTTTTTGATAAAAAAAATAAGATTTTATTTCGTATACCCTCTAAAAAATGAAAATCAAAGGAGCGGTTATGGAGTGGCACACCATTACCTGGAGCGGGAGCTAGCTCCTTTTGAGAAGGTAGAAGCAGGAGCTAGCTACTTTTAAAAAAGAGCGTTAACAACTCTGAGAAATATATAAAGTACCCATACTGTTAATTTCAGTTATGTACATTTTTTTATATAAATTTAAAAATATTAAAAGTTCATGCTTAAAATTGTCTGAAATTTTTAAGGCACTTACTCTATATATCTGGAATATATTTCCAGTAAAATCCAAATTAGAAATTGCCTTCAATAAATGATTAATGAAAAATTTTGAATCTCCATGGATTTTATATCCCAATATGACATATATATAATTTTTCAAGACCTGCAATTTTGCCAAATCTACAATTGATTTTATATAAACTCTTAAAACATAACTTAGGAATGTGAACCTGTAAACACCATATCATTACATACCTCTGGAGATTATATTTTGGTTGGAACTAATCACCCTACTTTGAGACTTTATAATCTTGCAACATCTCAATGTTACGTTTCACCTCAACCATTGGACCAACACACACAAGCATTAAATTCTGTGATAAATTTTTTAAATTTATTTTATTTTTTATTTGTACCATGTGCCCATTTCAAAATATATCTACCTGAGTTGTTATGCAAGTGTCTAGATACACAAATATGGTATATATATATAGATAAACTTTTATATAAAGTATTTAGATATATTTTTAAAGATATCTGTATTTTAGTTAAATTGTGATATTATTTTATTTCATCTTATGTTTTTTTATATTAAAAAACATTTGAATTCAATCAATTAATCAATTATGTCTGAGTTTATTTCATTACAAAACAGCAGAAGTTTTATTTTATTGAATAGATGTGGGCAGCATGGTAAATTTTAGTTGATAAACTATTAAAGTTTCCAACTGATTGTATACAGATAACTTCTGAAAAAATTGAATAATTTAATATCGCCACACCTCTTAGAGGGCATGATTAATTTTATAAATTTTGACACTCATTTTTGGAAGATTTTTAAAATGAGTGTTTGGATTTTGGCATATTTAAAAATTATCATAAATTTATTCATAAAATATAACACCACTTGCTGCCAAGAATCTTGTTATAAAGACTTTTAGTAGGGTTGTGCTGATTCACAAATTTTTTTCCAATCCAACATTACTACAAAACTGATCCTATATTTATTTTTATTTATCATCTATCTTTACCAATGAGATAAATTTACCAATATTTTCTATTCAAAAGATACCAACTAACTTTCACAAATGATTAAATGTATTTTGTTTTATTTATTCTTTAAAAGTGTATCTCATTTAAAATATGAGCAATGTTTATGGCTGAATGGACTGTTGCTAAATGCCTAAGCCAATATTAGTAAATCTATCTTTTAAATAATTCCATTTTTTAAAAAATATAACAAATAAATTAATATTTGGTTCCTTTTATTAATTTATTATTATTATGTGCAAAATAAAAAAAAATATTGGGTCAGTTTTTTTTAAATTATTGAACCAATCCCATAAAAAAATGCCACAGCCCTACTTTTTGTCTGGCTAAAAATATCATAAACAGGGATGCATTAATGATGGAATATTTAAGAATGTACTATTAATAAAATCTAACAATTATTAATTATAATCATTTAATTTTATATTTATAAATAAGATAGATATCAACTCAATAAAAAATTTTCAGCTCATTTCAAAACTTGAATTTTAATAATATAATCCTAAATTAGGTATATTATGCACAGGGTACAGGATTATAATAAAAACGTGCTCTGTAAAATTGTATCCCTATAGATACATTTTTTCTAATTTAATTAGATATGGATACATTTTCGACGATGTATCGTTATCTAGATAAATTTTAGGTTATATATCTGTATCTAGATACATTTTAATAGTATTTAACACAACTCTGATAGGTAAGCACACTATATTTAAAAAATATTTTAGAGTCCATTTTATGAACCTTAAATAGATCTTTTTTTAAAGATCTTATCTGATATTATCTTAAGTTTATTCTTATTCATACCTTAATTTAGAACTTAACTTCATAAGTAATTTCTAGGCTCCTGTGGTCCTACATTGTTTTATAAAAGGATTAAAAAAGAATTTTTACGTGATAACGACAAAGCAATCAGTGATTTTAACTTATAAAAATAGATTTAATATATATTAGTTAATTAAAAATTGGGCTTTTGGAAATTTTAAGATTTGGGGTCAAAAGAATAAAATTTATGGGACTTAATCTTAGTTATAAGACTCGTTACCTAATCATAAACCCTCTATCTAAAGCAAAAATTATATTTTATTACATATAAATTTGCTACTAACTAATGCTATTTAAAATTAAATTATTCAATAGTTTTCTTCATTTTTATTGATATTTAAACACAAACTCGTTCAATAAAAGTTATAATATCTAATCTTAATATTTAGATCATGTACAACTACGAAAGCAGGATATATGTTACCTCTGCTGATGATGGAGACATTAAGATATGGGATGGGATTAGCAATCGTTGTATAAATCACTTTCCCAGAGCTCATGAAGGCTTTCCCGTTATTTCAGCTTATTTTAGCAAAAATGGAAAGGTTTTGATAACTTCTCTTATAGATTTATATAATCCTTTTTTCACGTTATTTTTATTAATGATATTATAGTTGATTATACATCATTTTATTAGGTAAATGTTTAGGAATTATCATTTTTTTTAAAAAAAATAATTATATAAAGTTGAGCTACATTTAAAAAAAAATATTTTCTTATTATTAGATACCTAATATAAAAAATTTGTTATTTTGAGCTGAACATTTCTTTATACATTTGAAATGGTGCATAGGTGTAGACAGGATTTTTCTGGGGGGGGGCACTATTGGGTGGATCCCCATAAATTTTATTAGAGGTCTTTAAGTCCACTTATTGCAGGCCTTTGGCTATATTAGATTTTTATAAAAATAATTTTGATTTCACTTTTTTTTATAACAATGCTTTTTTCTAAATTTTTGAATTATAGTATTTATTTTAAAAAGTTATTCACTTTTACTAGAATCTCTTTCAAATTCTTCTTTATATTTATATATTGTATACATTTTGAGGGATGGGGGGGGGGTGGCGTGTAGAGAGAAATTTCATATGGACTTAAAATCATATTTACGAGAACAAACAAATTTTTGAAGGGAAAAGGATTCCCCCTTGCCCCCCCCCAATGGTTACGTCTGAAAAAGTGTCTTGACTTTACACCACTTCAGCCTTATTAATTTAGATTCTAAGGAAAGTTAGATCTCCATAAAGTATTTTTATTTTGAGTCTTGAGCAAATCCATAAGACCCAAAAAAGAAGGTTGCTTTAGTTCTTTTATTTTATAAAAACAAAGATTATTAAAATTTCACATTATACGAATTGAATATAATTGTTAATATAAATCATTTATTAAAGTATATCCTATCAACAGCCAGGGACGGCAGTATAAAGCTATGGGAATTAAGCGCCAGTCGATGTTTAATAGCGTACAGTGGAGTAGTATGTAATAGTGGTTCGCCTGATTTTGGATCTCCTGCCGTATTTAACCATACCGAAGACTTTAGTTTATATTAAAATATCAATTTATTATCTGCCTTTTTTATATGAATTTTTAATAAAAAAAAGTATACTAACGATATTTTATGAAATATTAGATTTTTTAAAAATATTTCATTATATAAAATTTATTATATATAGTTTTGTATCCAGATGAAAAATCTGCCAGTTTATATTCTTGGGACTCGAGAACTGCCTTAATTCAATCATCTTTGCCATTAGGTTTTTATCAATGATCTTAAAAAACGAATTTGAAAATATCATTATATTTAATCATGCATAATCCCATATTTACTTGTTCCTTTGTTATTTTAAAATATCAATGGCATGCTATTAAATATTATTTTTAAGCGTTAAGTGATAAAATTATTTTTTGTTATTAAGTTTTCCAGCCATAGGTAATAGCTTTATACTTAAGTAACTTGATTTTGTTTTTTTTGAGGTTTTTATGACCCAATTTTACGCTATAATTTTTAAATATTTTTTGAAACTTGGTTTTATTATGTTTTAAAAGGTCATAACGGGCCCGTCAGATCTATCCAACATAGCAGCTCGATACCCTTATTTGTAACATGTAGCGAAGATTTTAGAGCTCGTTTTTGGGCTAGAAAATTGGAGTTTTGATAAGTACACATCTTAATATTATACATTATAATTTACATAATACATATTTATTATATTATATATTATACATATAAAATAATGTTGAATAAACTAGGAAAACATGTATCAATTTATAATTACAATTTTTTATATGTTAGAATAATTTTTTATATTTAAACAAATAAAGTTATTTATATTATCCCTTTTTTAAAAATGGCTTTTCTAAAGAATTTCTCAGGCGCTTATAATTGTTCCATTCATGGGTAAATCCATTATGTTATGTTCGGGATCAAACGCACAGGCTCCACGAACTATTGGGAGGGGAAATGGGTCTTATATGGGGGGCCCGGACTCGGAGTGGCCCTAGTCATAGCCTAAGAATCTAGAATCTATATATAAAACTTATAAACGTACAAAATTTCGAACTGTATCAACCTTGAGAATACCACAACCCATGAGAATCGATTTGTCATAGGTTTTAAATCGTGAAAATAAAAAATCTCTTAATATTCAAATTGAATTTTTTAAAAAAATCGCTAAAGATGGTGGACATATATATCATCATTGTTCTAAGAATTGGAAACAAAATTTAGGAATATTGATAATATTTCCCTCATTTATAGCGATTATTTAAAAAAAATTTAATTTAAATACAAGTGCTTACTTTCATAGTATCTTTTAATATTAATTTTAAATTTACTTTATAAATTTTCTAGGAAATATAAGCGAGATTAGCAATTCTTTTATGTTTTTAGCGATTTAGAATGAGAACCCATTTTTCTTTACAAATTATTATTTTGTGTGGTATCACCGGAGGGCAGTAAGGCTTAACTACCTGTAAAGTTCATCATGATTTCTTTTATTTCTAAAGTGCCTTATATTAATGAAAATTAAACTTTAAAATTGCAACAATACGATAGAAGAGGTTGTATAATATTTTAAAAAATATACAAATAATTTTTACCAAAGAGTTCTAACACAAAACTAGTTTTTGTGGGTAAGGAGTAAAGTTTTACAAATTAAAATAGACGAATATTGTTTGGAGGTTTTGAATAATTTCTGCTGCCTTCGCTTTTATTTGTTTATTTAGTATTATGCCTCAATATTGTCCTTTTGTTATGATTTTTTTTTTCGTAATTGTTTACTAATTATATATTTTTCAATGATGATTTATATATATATAATATAAATAATAGTATTTGAAATTAAAATCTAATTAAGCGCCTTAAAGATGATTTTTAAACTAGTTATATTAAAAAGTTATCATGTTCAAAATATAATTAGTTAAATAGCTTAGTTTAATTATTTCTTTGAAATGTAACTAGGTTACAGTTAAACAAATATAATAGTTACCTAAAATAATGATAACAATTATATATGACTTATTTAATGCATTAAAGAAAAGCAGCTTTGTGAAGAAAAATAATCCTATTCATTAATGTTATACTTTATTATAAAAAAATAATGTTAAGGAAGTATTTACAATATATGCAGATTCCCTTAATTATATTAAAATTATATGAGTAATTTAAAATAGATTAGTGGAAAAAGACGTTTAATAAACAACATTCTGTTCAAATAGTTTTATAATAAAAATACTTGAAATTTAAAGGACCCGCATAGTAATAACCTAAATTAAATTTGAAAAGTTGCATATAACTTTTTCAAACAATATTTCTGGCAAAATAATGATTGGCAAGCAATAATTACAAACAATATTTATTTTAAACTTTATTTTAAAAAATAACACATTTATAAAATTTTAAATATAACGAGTAGTTACAGGTTAAAGTTACCTTTTCAAAATGTAACTTGCTACAGTTTAAGTTCCTTAAAAAGGTAGCTATTACATTAAAACATTAATAGTAATTTTACAAAAATATAAGATATTATTTTTATCTATTTATGAATTTAATTCTTTTATAAAATTATTATAAAAAGTTAAAAATACTTAGCACCAGTAAAAAGGAAATTATTCAACTGAATAACATTGTAAATCTACAATCGAATCGCTACCAATAAATATTTTTTTCTTAAATCATCGATATCTTCCAAATATAAAATATTTAAATAAAAAGAAATTAATAATTATTTATTTTTGTATAAAATAATTATATATCACAATATGATTGGTTAATGAAATCCCTGTCATACATAATTTCTCACTCAGAATTGTTGTTTTTTTTTTGGATCTGAAAAATTTTTACCAAATTCTTTTTTAAAAATTTAAGTTTTAGCTAAGTAAAAAATTTTCGAATTTCTTTTCAGGAGAAATAGTATAACCTATAGAATTTTTATTTTTATACGCTTATTTAAAAGATATTTATTCTTGTATAAATTATGTTCTAATCAATTTTATAAATTTATTTTATATCTTAAAAAACCTTATAAGTTTAGTGGAATCTAAACCATATATCATACATAATAAAGCAATATATTAAAAGATCATAAATGAATTATCATTTTAAAATACTTTTTAAGATAATGTTTTACACTTAAAATTAACTAGGAAGATCTGATTTTTTAAAATCCGTTATTTTAGTTAAGTCAGAGGTTTAATTTCAAGGAAACCTATAATATTTTATTTATTCTTAAGCTTTCCAATGATACATTTATAATGCACCCAGATATAAAATACAGCTGATTATAAATCAATAGTTTTTTTGAAGCAGTATTTAAATGTAGCCCATAGTAAAAAGAATTTGCCTATTTTAAGCTTTAAAAATTTGCGAAATTTCAGCCCGTATATATATTTTATACAAATTGTCCAGCCCGAACCGAAAATATTTTTTCTTGGTCCGTGAACCGGGCCTCTAAATTTTTATATTAAATATACTTCTTAAAAATAACGCCAACTGAAGGATTTTATTATATAATTTTTATATTGTAAATTAACTTTTGGAACATAATTTATAAGATAGATCTACTTTTCATAAATATTAAATAAATAATTCATTTAATTTAAAAAAAAATAAAATTGTACCTAATATAAGATAATAAGTTTTATAGTTTGTAACTAAATATTTGATATAAATATTAAAAGATATTGCTATGTCCTTATTTTGACTTTTATATACGAATAAGGATATGTTGTATTATTGATTTTTTATGATATTGATCTCTCAGAATTATCGATTAATCTTAATCAAATTCGTACATTAATTTAAAGAATAAATTATTCTACTTTTAAAAATGTTTAAACTTATCGTTTACATTAAAAATTTTTAAAAATTATTTTACTTTATTACACAACAATATTTTCATAAAAAACCTTTAATAAAATTAAGAGGGAATGGGGGGGAAAGGAGATTAGTATATCAATAAATTCATTATTTTTAATTATCATTTACTTAAACAAATTGAGGACCGACTTATAAGGACTGCTCTAGTCTGAGATATATTTAAAGACTCCTGCTTGAGATTAGAGACATAATAAAACTCATTTAAACTCTATTTATGGTAATAAAAAAAAGAAGGCGAAATAAGAATTTCATATTCTAAGTGCTAATTTCAACCCTTGAATACTTTTACTAGATATGGAGTTGCATTATTACTTATCTACGTAAAGTTTCTGAGTAAACAATTTAAATGATGACAACCTTAGAAGTAAATAAAAAAAATTCATTTTTGAATAATCTAATATTTTACTATTTTATAAAATTTGTATTGATTTAATAATTAGCTAGGTGTCTAGCATAAATTGTCTAGTTGCACTGATCCCACTAATTTGTCGGCACTCGGCAGGGGTTATATTTGGGAAGTACACAGTCTGAAAATCTTGATATGTTCACTAACAGGGTTGCCATGTCTCCCCCCATCAGCGGGAGACTCCTGCAATTTTTTATACACGCAGACATCTCTCTCCCGCAAAACTACCGCAATTTTTTAATTTTCTCTCGCAATATCATTAACCCTGATAATGCCTTTGTAAATTTTGGCAAAATCCAAAGTTATCGAATTGAGGCAGCACAATAATGAATTAATACCAATTGGCTGTATATGCCATATACTACATAATTCTTGTAAGAAGGCAATAAATGTACTATCTGTTGATGTCGAAATAATTGTGTTGAAATGTTTTAACGAATTTAGTTCATCAACTAAAAAAGTTAATGAATTAAAAGAGTTGGTCCGGCTGTCCAAGCCTGTCGGTGACCGGGGCAGTGGCATAGCTACGGGGGTGGTTTTCGGGTTTGGACCCCTCCCAGAGTAAAAATTTTTTTTAGATTATACGTTCAAAAGACTTAAAAGTGATTTTATATGAATTCTATTTTTCTGGTTTTGATGTTTGTGAAAGGATATTATATTATTATCGAGATCATTCTGGATAATATTATTATAAAGTCATTGAGAATAATCTACTAAATTATAATAGCATATTATTGATGCATTTAAAAAATATATTTATTATATAT